CAGTGCGTGGGTAGGTGACCGAGACGGTGTCCTCTTCGGACTCATCATCGGTGGTGACCGCAACACGTACGACGTCTCGCTTCTTAGGGGATTTGTTCTGAGGGATGGCGCCGATAACAGATTCGATTGTTGTTCCAACTACCCATTCGCAAAAATGCGTGGGGAGTTTCGCTTTGCGATTTGCCATCGCACCAAAGAAGTTTGCTGTACCAAAGAAATTATCAAGATAGTATGTATGTCTTTAGAAGGGTCAAAATGTCAAGAAAAAGACGGTTGTGCGTTTGGTTTGAGGTTGGATATGAGAGGTCACCCTGACGGTCTGGGCGATAGTCGAAGACTTGTTGTTGTCAACTGCTCGCAGCTGTCAAGGCGAAGAGAAGACAAAGTGGTAACAGCCCTAGTGTTTTGGCAATCTACACATCAGAAAAGAAGTGTAAAGAGGGCATGTAGAGGCTGTGCTATGTTTTGGTGAAAAGATGTAAAAAGTAATAGAAATGAAATGCGCTGAGATGAAAAGGGTTGGTTCGTGGTTGAGAAAAGAGGCAGGAGCGAGCTTGAGTTGGGGCTCCTTCCTCCTTGTGTATATAATTCACCTGTACCTGCCTATTATCCACCCTTCAACCACTAAAAGCAAACAAACAAACTCCCTAAGGCACCTATAATTCACTATCACAGCTTCGCATTCAACTTCATCTCCTCCCATCTCTCATTAATGATAAGATTCTGCCAGAACCTCCACGTCGCAACTGCAACTGCCAGAGGAGGACATCCAAGCAATAACCATGACCACCAATCGGGGCTCGCCTTTCTCAGTTCCTTGATGGCCTTATCCAGTTGCTCCTTTAGCTCTTCCCGTGACCCATCGTTCCAAAGCACAATCCCTTTGCCTTCTCCTCGTTCTTCACATCGTCGGGCTTTTTCTCGAACATCTGTCTGGCTACGTACCCTGTTCTCGGCGTCTTCTGGGCTGAGGTGAGGATCACGCGCACGCAGACGTTGCATCTGGACTGCTGGGTCGTGGACTGCAACTACAGCTGTGACGCCACAGAAGCGATCGAGGCCACTCTCGAAAAGGAGTGGGATATCCAGAACCACAGCCCAATGGCCTCTGAAGTAACATCCAACGACCGACTTGAACATCTCCCATCGAACAGCCGGATGAACGATGCGATTGAGAACTGCTCTGTCCTTCTTTCGCTCCTCTGAGTCGCCAAACACTCGTCTCCCCAATGCCGGTCTGTTAAGTGGTCTACCTTTGCCGTCTGGTCCATCCTCTGGCATCTTCTCTGATGGTTGAACGAGAAGTTCGGGTGTCGTAGGCCCAAAGTGTTTCACAATAGCTTCATACCCACGAGTTCCCGGCTCCACAACCTTGCGCGCTAGAATGTCTGCATCTATGATCGGGAGATTGTAGGGCTGTGATGAGAGCATTGACGACACTGTCGTCTTGCCTGTGGCAATTGAACCCGTGAGACCGATAAGAAGCATGATGGCGTATCTTGGAAGACTGCGCAGGTCTTGTGGTAACAAAAAACTCAGATTCTAGAAACTTGTCAGAAAGTCCTCTAAGCTCATTCTAAGATCACCAGAGTATCCTCATGGATCATGATTAAGATAGCTCTTCTTACCTGTTGGCGGGGTATAGACCCAACAAGGTGAGGCAATAAGCTCGGTTGATCTTAAAAGGACTTAGATTTGATAGTGGCGTCTCGGATCTTAAATGAGATGAGCGTATCAATGGATGTAGTTAACAGGAATGATCTGATAAACCTTCCATGAACCGATGATGCAATTACCGAGGATGTACGGATACGAAACAGTCGGAACAGCCAGTGTAAGTTTACCCCACATGCATCCATGACTTGCATTAGTAACTTGCACCACATTAAAGCAACGACATGTGATGCTGTTTTCTTTTCCTTCACGCAGAACAATCACAACGAGGCCATTTTATACAATTTCAATTAACCGTAGCAGTGAATATCCTCAGAGGAATGATGCAAAGCAGTTTCCTATCTGCAGTCGGTAGGTAGTGTTTCCTTGCGCAATCTCAAAACGGTCCATGTCCTTATCCGAGAGACGTCTTATTCATCGATACAATCTCAATCGCATAACTGAGCATGAGCTCTCTATAAGTCGAAAAGTTGGACAAAGGACGAGAAGCGTTATCATCCCTTTCAAAGTCAGCTTGTGCCGCCATATTATCTTTGTACTACTTACATGGAAGACATGGTGACGGAGTTCAAATCAATTTCTCGGTCGGGGGCGAAGCCAACTGCAAAATTATTAGTACGCCTTCGACTCATTGTGAAGAGATTTCTCACAGCTTGCGATAAACGATTTTCCAATGAATCATTCTTGTGGGTTTCGTGGTATGTCTACAGATTATCAGCTGAAAGGCCCGGGAGATGAGGCAAGGGGAGGTTAACTTACTGGCCGCGTCGTTTAGTTGGGGAGTCGGACGGCGTAAAACCAACCCTCATCGGTCACATACCAGCGGGAGTCACCCATGTGATCAATGGTAAATCGGTTGCGCTGAGTCCAGTTCCCGTCAACTTCACGAACATAGTAAAAACGGGAGGGGTCATCGTCAGCTGGCTTGAAGTCCTGAGGCTCGTACATCTTGTTCGCATGCGCAAACTGGATCTGACGGAGCTGCTCCTCGCCAGCGGTACGACCAACACCAGTGACATCAGGGACATGGTGACCACCAGGGACATTACCTGCAAAGACGGGGACCGTGCCGGGCAAAGCAGCTCCACCAGCAACACCGACCGAGGGAACGCCTGGGACTTGCTGAACCTGCTGCACGAACTGCTGGGGCTGGTGGCCAGCAACGAGGACTGGCTGTTGGCCCATGGTCGGCTGCTGGTAGTAGTAGGGCTGCTGCTGGACGACGTAGCTGCCTTGAACGGTGGGCTGGGGAGCCATACCACCGACGGCGGGCTGCTATAGAACTTGTCAGTATTTGTTAATAGTTATGGTGAGATTTTGAGGAATGAGTGAAAGAAAAAATGTAGACCGCCGCTCAGTCACTAAGTCACGGAGGTGCACTGAACCACTTGATTCAGGCCGACTCCACGCCGTAGCCGAAACACAAAGATAAATCAGCAAAGATAACTTGCATAATACGTGTAACCATTCAAATAGAATGTCTTCGGCACCACAACTGTAGTGCAGGCGGCGGGAGTCGTCGTTGGGACAGGAGACAAGAGAGGGGCAGTAGGGGCAACCGGGGCAATATAAGAAAAAGAGGGTGGACAAACTTGAACACCGGCATAGGCCCCGACTGGGACACCAGCGAGACCATTGTCAAAGCGAGGCACATAAACGTGCTGCATGGGACCAAAGGTAGTGTCAGGAACAGGCGGCTGAAAGTTCATGCCATGAACAGGAGGCGCAGCGTTCTGATAGTCACCCATGTTTGCGGTGTTGACAGCGGGAGACTGAGGACCGATTCCGATGTAGGTGATTGGAGATGGGGTGAATGGGTTTGGGCCTGCGTTGATGAAGGGAGCAGGGTGAGGATGAGGATGAAATTGAGGGGGGAGAAATTGGTGCTGCTGAGGGGTAGGCGAGACGAAACCAGTTGGCACTTGTTGCGCGAGGCTCTGAGTCGGGTCGGCACTGATATGCCACTGAGGCTGTGCGTTAGGGCCTAGGCCGAGCGCAGGGAAGCTCGTGGGTTGATTGCTGCCCTTCTCCTCCGGCGCAGAAGCGGTTGCTCCGGTAGCAGCAGTGGTTGTAGTTGTCGTAGCTCGAGCAGTGCTAGGAGCTGTAACACCGTTGATACCAGCACTGAAGCCGCCGCTGGGGGAATTGGCAGTAGTGTAGCCCGTGATGCCCTCGTTCAAGGCGCCAGATGTTGATGCTGATGCAGATGCAGAATTTGCAGTAGCAGTAGCAGGCTTGATCTGAGAGCCAAAGTGCACTTGACGAGTCTCGGGGGTCTTGGGTCGTCGAGGAATTTTGGGAGACTTGAAGGCGCTGGCACCTGCCGAGGCCATGATCGCTTCTTTTGTGTGCAACTCGAACAATTGAGATTGGGAAAGAAATCCACTTTCAGGGCTCGTGAATCAGAAGCCTCAGGATCTCGCGATACCTTCGAAGAAGGAAAAGAAGGAAAGAAGACGAAGAAGAAGCTCTCAGATGGGAGAGGCACTTCGAGAAGATATACCACTCGTGCGTACAGGGCACAAACAGCACTCAAGGCGGCAGTACAGCACAAACACAACACCTCGCGTGCCGAATTTGGTTTGCTTATGTTTTAATATCCTTCAATGGCACGTTTTGTGGTGACTTTGCCCTCCGGTCGGTTGTCACTGGCAGTCCAGACGCAAGCTCGGGACCAGGTGGCCCGCAAGTTTGAAGGGGATTTGATAGGGTAAAGGGCCGCAATAATGGAAAAGACGAAATAGATGAAATTCAAGGAAATATGTATGCTCACCACTCTCTGAAGCTCCCAGTTCTGCCCATCATGGACCCAGACAGACTGCTTAGGGGCTTTGTGCAAATTGTCATAAGGGTCTTCGCATTTTGTCCATGTCCACGGGAAACAGGGAAGGCACATTATGCCGACGAGATTATAACAAGCAAAACTATGCGTTTCTAGAGGGTTTAGAAAGTGAATGTGTTGTTTTATGCTCAAGTTGAGTGGGCGGTGGATGAGCAAAGATGGCTGTTGTGATGCCCACTGTGGTGACAGTGCTTCTGCCTTGAGCATTGGATATAAGGTAGAGAAACTGTCGTAAACTTGAGCTCTTTGAGCCGACCTAGGTAGGTAGTAATACGAGTTTCTTATTCTCTTACAATATACTCATTGGTTTACTTGTGTGAACTTGCCAAACGAAACAATGGGTTCGTCTATCATACTGAATGCACATGGATTTGTCCACCGCGCAATTTCATCCCCTCACTTCATGTGTAAACAATTCATCATCACGATAGCAACTCATCCATAAGGGAGCAAGATCCATCCCTTTTCATCCCATGAATCGTTGTCATAAACTGCCAAACTCGTCATCATCGTTGTTCTTACTTGGAGAATCAAGCCTCCCCATAGTCGCAAGCTTTGCTCTGTCCAGCGCTTGTTTTGTTTTCGCTGCTCGTTGGACTTCTTCCTGGGTGCGGCTGGCAAGAAGTTCATCCACGATATCAAGCTGAAATGGCGCCAGCCCGGCTTCGCCAAAGAAAACTTCAGCTTGGTTCATAAGATCATCTACTTCAGGCCACCACCGGCGAAGTCGAACTTTCTAAGGCTATTTCACACAATGTTAGCAATGGTCAGTAAAGGGCATCCATAATGCTCACTCGAATAAAAACCGGGTGTTTCTTTGCTCGCACGCCTTCGAGTAGCTCTTGGTAGGTTGTTTCGTTCAACTTCGTCCACGTACGAAGACGGTCTGGTAACCTGCCCGCCGGAATACAGAAATTGGAATTGCTTCTCAACTTGAAAACCCAAGTGTACCTCTCACCTTCAGGTTTCTCTACCAGCACCAATTCATTGAGCTGGCGATATAAGCCTTTGGCTTTCTTTCGCTGTGCTTCATCTCCACGTTGCCAAACAATTTTGAGTCTATTTATAAGGACGTTGATAGTATGCTGGCTCTGTTCACTGTCGGGAGGAGACCTAACCTTCATTCGTGAAAGCAGTCCCTCCATACTGACATCGCTAGGTAGATTGACACTCTGGTAAGTAATCTTACCGTCGACCCCTAAATCGAGGACCTTGACCTGGTAGTACCCTGGTAGCTGTTCTTTGCCAACGGCCAAGCGAGTTTGAGCTATCATAGTGACCAAGTGACTGAGTTGGAAGCTTGCTCGCACATCATCCCATCTTGCTGGCTCCCGGTCCGGATCGTAAGCGTTGGGCTCCCACAGCGTCTGGCATGTCTCCTTAACCTCCTCTTCTATTAGGTGCTGCAGTTTCGTTAGAAAGGTCTTGTCTCTCTCGACCTTGGTGCGATATGCAGCCTCCAGTTCAAGGCGTCGTTTCTGGAGGTCTTCTGCGACCTCCCGCTTTTGTGCAGGCAGAGGTGTGGTTATGTCGAATGGTACAAACCACGTTCGGTCGAAGCCATCAAACATGTTCATCCCGCTGTCCGCAACCTTGAAGCCAGCCCATTGTGGGCTCCACAAAGCTGTCAGGTTAGTTTGACCCTTGACATGGACGATCTGCGCCCTTGCTCTCCAGTGATCAAGGCGATATTGTATCATGATCTCTTTGAACTCCTTCAGGCTCGCATCCGCGATACCTTGTTTGGGAGTTCGTGGTTTCCGGGGCTGCTTGGGTGCCTTGCTTGATGATGCCGCATTTCTGTCGCCCTGGGGATTGTCAGTAGCACCTAAGGGGTTGCCTGTGAGCGCGGGAGATGGACGATCGTCGCGAGTAAGCTCTTCAACAGCGTCTAGATGGATCTGGAATGCGCCTTGGCCGTTGCCATGATCGTGTGGTTCCATGTTGAGTGTCGTGTGTTGTGGGAAAGATCAAGCCATCTCAGCTTGTGCGATGGGGATGAAGATGAAAAGTTGAGGGTGCGATGGTCATTTGCTGTGAATGTATGTTTGTGGTAAATAGATGGCGAAGTGGTAGGCGCCTCTTTCTTGTGTATAATCTTACCCAGGCAACCGATCTCGGCCAGTGCTGGCACTGTCAGGAGGTACTGCTTCCATGGACTAAAGCACAGGCTGCCGTGAAAACCCATTGGTTAACTGCATTTAACTTAACTTACAGTACTATTCAAACATTTTAATCATTAATGACCAGACGCCCAGCCCCTATCACAATCGTCTAATGCTCGCTGACCGAACCTCATGTAATGTACACTTGCCCATGGGAGGAGAGATGTCCGTTACAATCCATATGCTACCAAACTCCTAGTCTCGCCCATATCATATACAACGGGGGATCCCTTCTCTTCCCGTACTGCATCCTCCAGCTCGTCTCGCCTCTCTTCGTTCATTTGTTTTCGTCGGTGCCGTGCGCCCACAAAGGCACGATTATAACGAGTCGATCAATTGACGACAACGGTGAATAGGTGTATCATAATGGTATTACAGAGTAAGCTCGTCAGAAACCGCAGGAACGGGCTCTGGGATAGGGAAGAAAGATCGTCGGACAATCTGGTGAGAGGTTAGCAGCTGAACAGGGTATATCATAGAATAGCACTTACAGCCCAAGCACCAGCGACAGAAGCCACAATACCACCAGAGATGGCCATGGGTCGAAGTCCACGGGTGCTCTTGAAGAGCATACCACTCAGCGCACCAGCGAGGACGGTGTTTCCGGCATCATGCTTTCCGCGGACAGATCCAATCAATGAGTTGATGCAGTTGTAGATAATAGCGACGACACCCAGCGAGTTACCGAGGAAAGGTCCTCGTCGAGTAACCGAGTTGAGAACAGCGTTCAATCGCAGCTTAGGAGGCTGACCAGCCGACCTTCGGAGACCCTCCTGCAGACCCCAAGCACCTCCGATTCCCAGACCAGCGAGATATGTGATTCCGGTACCATAACACAAGTCGTCTGTGAAGCCTCGCGAGGGCAGGACTGATTGGCCACCAGGCAGCTCGGATAGGGCTGAATCCTCGAGGGAAATATATTCAAGAGTATCTCTGTTGAGGCCGGCGAGGGGATGTAATTGCGAGGGGTCGGCAAAGGCAGAGCTCTGAAGAAAAGACTCGACGCCCTGACCTTCCGTGGGGTCGTAGGCGTAATGCGCGGGTTCTTGTGTCGTGGGTTGTTGGTGCGACTGAGACTGCGACTGTTGCTGTTGGTGGGCGGGCTTATTGCCGCTGGTGAAAGCGTTCCAGAGAGAAGACATTATGGGCGATGACGACCGAGTAGGTAGGCGAGGAGAGGGTGGGTGAGATGTAGATTTGGGTGGATTAATCGGCCTTGACAAAAGTCGCACGTCAATGAGAGTCTTGTCCGAATCTCGGGCAAATCTGAAGGCTTCCTCCGGTTTAGATTTTTTTGGGCTCCACTTCTGCCCATTCGCCCATCAAAGATTCCAGGTTCTGTCCCGTCACGTGCTATCACGGCCTTGGACCCCGAAGGTCATTGACGACGGGGAGACATTACAGCGAGGTAAAATGTTTTATGGTGTTTATTGATGAGATATTCTCTAACAGTGCTTTTACCAGCATCTGTCTATAAATCTGTGCCCAGTCGTGACGCACTGCAACATAATCTGAAGCAATACAACGACTGGCTATACTCGCAAATCTGGTGGATGCAAATTTGGTACGAGCAAATCGCGACGCTATGCGCAGAGTTTGCATGCCATGACTCTTTAGATATACAGTGTAATCTGTATCATGAGAAATCGTGTGGTGTGTCGAGTTGAACAACAAATTTGCCTGTTCAGAGCCACCGAAAAGTTTGCAGCAAACGTTTGGTTGCCCAGCCACTTTCGAGCATCTCCAGACAACAAATTCTGCAACCGTGAGAATTCAGCGGAGACCAACGATTTTGGTGTTTCTCTCGGAGGCTCAAAGAGCACTGACCTTCAGCGTAGACACGAGCGGTCCGGCTTCATGTGAGGCTTGCTCAAGCAGAGCAGTCTACACGCGCGCAATCTACGAGCTTACGATATTCAAGGTTTAGGAGTTCAATAGTATGTCGAGATCACCCCACAGTCAAAGAACCTCTGACGACGTCCATGGCTGATTAGGAAGAGCGATCACGTTGCTATAGGAGGCCGGGAACGGAAAACCAGATATCGACAAATCTGACTCTCAGCAAGCCGCTTTCGCGGAGCCGCCATTAAGTAAAAATTCACATGACGGTGAAGTTTCTACCTACTGATGTAATGAGAAAAGGAAAAAAGAATTCAAAGGATGGGAGAAGATTGGCTTTTTATACCACCAACTTTTCTCGAGTGATCACGCTAACACCAACGTGGCCGAAGTATCGGTGCGTGCCACTGCTCGGCGCTCGCACTGCAGGGATTTTTGCCCGAGAGGGTTACATAAAATTTCAGAGGGTGGGGCTTCAGAGGGACTCTTTTGGCGGGCCGAAAACCTTTTGTTTGGCTGTATCGTGGGCTTCAGAGTTGTCTATCAACTCTTTGGTTTAGTATCACCGATATACCCAGTAGACGCCAAACCAAATCTCGGCTTCTCACATGAGATCCCTTTTTTCAATGCTTAACCGGAAAGGCCAAGCAATCCACTGCATATCTACAAATGCATAACTAAGTGATGCCAATAATGATGCTGTCGATCAGGACTGAGACTTCACCTGTACAATTAGGTTGACAGCATCTTGCCCTCGGGAAGCAGGAAAACACCTGACCCTAAGCTTAGGTACCAGAAATAAGATATGTAAAGATATCCTAAATCTACACTAAACTTACCTAAATATCTATATAACTTAGAAAAGATGTCCCAGGTTTTCTTTCGTCGCCTTGCTTGCCTGCAGAGACCTGTTGGACCCAAGGAACCTGAGCACTAAATATCCCAACTCTTTTGTTCCTTATCATTCTGAACACACTTGTATAATTATCCGTTACTGAAACCGCAGGCATGAGATCGGTGTTGAGGTTATACATAAATGTAAACGTCACGGAAACCCAATTTCACCGACTGAACTCTATGAACCAACGCATGATCAGTATTCGTCTAATCAACAAGCAAGCCTTGCGATATGACAAAAAAAGAGAGCAATCAGTGATTTCCTTACCGAGTCAAATTGTAAGGAGAACTATGATTTGTGTAAGGCATTGATGATTCTGAAGACATGGATCTTTACATGAGTGTACAGGGTAGTTCACGTCCTCAACGATATTGGTCGCCTACTAAAGCATTTCAAAGGAGTAGCAGGTTGCCGCCAACAATACTGATCTGTAGAACTTAGGAGCAATATAATAATGGAATTTGTGTTACTCGAGGACCTACTAATGCTATGAGCTTAATATACCAATGAGTGGAGGAGCCTCTAAGTTTGACGATAATAATGCTTAGACTTTTGATTGCTACTCGCCGATATTTCCCTTCACTCTCGATCTTAGTTTAGAGAACAACATTGATTCTTCTGTTGAGACACTGGCTGCCTTGTAAATACAAAATAGATTTATAGCTTCATGTTATGAACAAACTTAACCCCTGAGAGGTGCGTCGATCTAAAATCCGAATAAACATCGTATATTCCCAACTCCATCATGATAGCAACCCAATCCTGATGCTAATTTTTATTTTTGATTCCTTTTCCGTTTCCTTTTTTCTTTCTCTCATCCAACAGTAAACGCCTGCCATTGTTCGATCCTACATGTGCCCCAACCAGTCAGGGGAGATATGAGAACAAAGGAAAATAAAAAGCAAAACAAAAAACTGTCATATCAGGCGCGAGCCCTTCAGAAGATAAAATTTAAATCATGGGTGATAGACAGAGTCACCCCTCTGGAGCAGAGGACGCTGGTCCCAGCTGTCCTCGTTGAGACTCTCGTCATCATCGTACTCATCTTCCTCAGTAACGTTGTCGTTGATTCGTCGACGAGTAGGCGTAGCAGCGCTCTCTGGCTTGCTGTACATGAAGTACTGAGCAAAGACACCCAAGTCGAGGAAGAGAGTAACAAGACTGCCAGCGAGCCAGCTCAGGTTGACGAGGATGTATTTGCCGTAAATATGACGAGCCTCGCCGGGTCGGCATTCATCGTGCTTGCACTTGGGTTCGTAAGCGAAGATGGACAAGACATAGGTGATGTTTCCGAGGCATGCAAAAAGGAAGAAGAGCATGCTCAGTCCGTCGGTTGTCTTGCGCCTCCAGTTCAGGATAAGCTGAGGAAGACGAGAAGCGATGTATGCGACTGTGCAGAGATATCCGAAGATCTGACCCGAAAGACTGAAGTGAAGGCTATCCTCGCCTCCAGCATTGTTGTCGCCATGCTTGTCGCCAGTAGAAGCCTTCTGACCCAAGAACCAGCCAACAACACCAGCTGCGATGACCATCAAGACGATGATAGTGTTCCAAACCACGGTCTGAAGGATAGTAGGGGTCTGAGGAGTGGCATCTTCGGCGATGTGAGGAACAGCGGGTGACAGGCCAGACCAGTCTGAGCCGCGGCGCTCCTCATGACGATCGTGGGCGATCAGACCAGTGCGCTCGTTGGGTTCACCAGGGGCCGGGGTGTTCGGCTTCGCAGTAGGGGTCGGGGCATCGCGCCATGTGAAACCACGATAGTAGAAGCACTGGCCCAGAAGGACGATATCGGCGATCGTGTAATAGATAGCGAGAATGATCTATAAAAGTAATTGTTTTAGTATTCGGTGCTTGAACGGGTTGATTGAGGCTGAGCGTGAAGCGTACCATGGTCGGTAGAACGCCCTGAAGGACGGCACCCAGAATGTTGAAAACATCGCCGAGAAGCCAGACAATGATGAATTGGATCGAGAGGGCATCGGCACTGCTGCGCTGGAAGTTTTGAATGATTTGAGGAGAGAAGACGACAACTATTGGC